TCTCTACTTGTTAAACTTCAGTAGAGATACAGACTGAAATAGATCAGTTGTCTGAAGATCTCTACTTGTCAAACTTCAGTAGGGATACAGACTGAAATAGATCAGTTGTCTGAAGATCTCTACTTGTCAAACTTCAGTAGAGATACAGGCTGAAATAGATCAGTTGTCTGAAGATCTCTACTTGTCAAACTTCAGTAGAGATACGGGCTGAAATAGATCAGTTGTCTGAAGATCTCTACTTGTCAAACTTCAGTAGAGACACAGGCTGAAATAGATCAATTGTCTGAAGATCTCTACTTGTCAAACTTCAGTAGAGACACAGGCTGATATAGATCAGTTGACTGAAGATCTCTACTTGTCAAACTTCAGTAGGGACACAGGCTGAAATAGGTCATTTGTCTGAAGATCTCTACTTGTCAAACTTCAGTAGAGACACAGGCTGAAATAGATCAGTTGACTGAAGATCTCTACTTGTCTAACTTCGGTAGGTACACAGGCTGAAATAGATCAGTTGTCTGAAGATCTGTAATTGTCAAACTTCAGTAGGGATGCAGGCTGAAATAGCTCAACTGACTGAAGATCTCAACTTGTCCAACTTCAGTAGGGATACAGGCTGAAATACGTCAGTTGTCTGAAGATCTCAACTTGTCCAACTTCAGTAGGGATACAGGCTGAAATACGTCAGTTGTCTGAAGATCTCAACTTGTCCAACTTCAGTAGGGATACAGGCTGAAATAGGTCAGTTGTCTGAAGATCTCTACTTGTCAAACTGAAGTAGGGACACAAGCTGAAATAGATCAGTTGGTAGGGACACAGACTGAAATAGATCAGTTGTCTGAAGATCTCTACTTGTCAAACTTCAGTGGAGGATACAGACTGAAATAGATCAGTTGTCTGAAGATCTCTCCTTGTCAAACTTCAGTGGGGATACAGGCTGAAATAGATCAGTTGTCTGAAGATCTCTCCTTTTCAAACTTCAGTAGGGACACAGGCTGAAATAGATCAGTTGTCTGAAGATCTCTCCTTGTCCAACTTCAGTAGGAATACAGGCTGATAAAGATCAGTTGTCTGAAGATTTTGAATTGTCAAACTTCAGAAGGGACGCAAGCTGAAATAGATCAGTTGTCTGAAGATCGCATAGCATGGAACTTTGAGTAACAACATGTTTCAGGTTCTGTTTTAATATTCCTACAACAAAACAAAACAATTTATCACAAAATACCTTTAACATCACAGATAAAATACAATATATACATTTACAAATACAATATATACAAATACTATACAGGTTTCATTCTCATCCTTGAATCCAGGAAGTTACACACAAAAAATGGTGAAACACAAAATTATGAACTTGCTCAAACAACAAATCAAAGATGGGCTCCCTTATTTCCATTTATGAAAATGAAAATGCTAATACTTATATGAATAGAAAGTAGAGGTGTTCTAATGACTTGGAAAATGACCAATAATTAATTAATAATTAGCTAAATTAGAAGAGAATTACCAGCAGAATTCCAATGAGTGATCGATCAAGAAAGGTCAAAAAGTCTGGGCATACATGGACCTTTATGATGGGTTAAAACTCTTAATTATAAGCAATAAGAACATAATATGATTAAGAATACACGATAATTCATTAGAAACACCAATTAATCAAATAGTTTGCTTAATTTGACACTATAGAATAAGGAAACCCATCTTTAATGAACAACAGAATGTTGTAAATGTTGAATACGTTTCTAAGAAATATTGATATAAAAATACGTTTAAATTTGTTTTTAGTGTTTAATACTGCACGGTTTTTCTGTAACATACTAAAAATATACTTCAATATTTCCAGTTTATTTTTGCTGATAAATCCAAACATAATTGCTTCCTTTGAATGACTCTTTCATCAGTAATATTAGGTTAGTTCTACCTTGGCCTTTCTATTGTTTAGTTTATATATTAATATGATTTAAAAATAAGAAATATGATATTACCTACTTTGTCTCTCATTAGACTGCCAAGCTGACAAAGATACTTCAAAACATACAGCAACTTTGAAAATTGAATTCGATACTAAACGTCCAAAATACATGTCATACTTAATCATTGTTAAAGAGATTGTAAAGAGGTTTTCTTCATTTTTTATATGTATCAGGGACAATGATAATAACTATTTGCGCCATTCCAATTTTCAATCAGATGTCTGTGATTCTTGCAAGTCCACTAAAACTAAGTGTTTGATGACGTCACTAATCGAGATGTCCTCATGTGATACAGCATATTTTGCGATTAGTGACATCATCAAACACTTAGTTTTAGTGGATTTGCAGGAACCACAATTGGAATGGTATAAATTGATACTATCAGTGTCCCCGATAAAACATTAAGAAAACCTCTGTACAATATTTTTAATCTCAAATTAATTGGTACCAGTGAATGTAACAATCGGTAAAATTTGGTTTTATTGACAGACCAACGATTCTTTATCTGTTCCTATTCTTTTGATCTTCTGTGTTAAAATTATGTGAACACCATATCACAAGATAATGTAAGTTTTATACTCAATGAATAAAATGTAAATAAAAACACGTGGGGAAGACGGAGGGTTATTAACGAGTGGGAGTTCGAAGTTGTTCTATTCTAGTATTGTCTCTACTGACGGGAAAGGGGGTCGGGGCGTTAGAGGAATTATACGGAGACTGATTTGGTACTCTGGTAGAAAACGCAGAAAAATATTCAGCAGCAAAGGTAATGACATCATTAGGTTTACGCAGAAGTAAAAATTGAAGGAAGTCTGCTAAGAGAGCTTTTAGTTCTGGGTGATGTTTCATGTAAACATAGTGATCTCCCTTTATTTCTTCCTGAAATGAGACAAAAAGAGAAAAAATAAGTAAAAATATGAGTACAGAATCATCATTTCATATAATTCAGTTCCAACTACTGGGAAGTAAGAATTGAATAAATCATAAATCTGTCATACTAATTGATATTTCTGGAAATAAGAAGGGTTCATAATTTTATCATTTTATCCTATTTGTTATTATTATGAATTGTCTGATAGTGATACCCAGAGCTGCTCGATTGTTGAGTTCTGCACCTTCAATCATCCAGCCTTTCAAAAAAAAAAACAAGTTGGAACAATGTTTGAAACAATGTTCAAAACGGGTTTCGAAATATAAGCAGGTGCAGACAGAATTCAAAATGACAGAGAAAGAAATAGAAGAGAAAATTTTGAATGCAACATAATCTGGTTCCACACGTCTGTTCGGTTGAAGGGTGAATTAGAGCAGACGGAACATATTCAGAAGTTGCCAATCAAGCGCTATCCCAAAGAAGTTGTCAAATAACTCTACTTTAATTTATACAGAAAATATCAATTCATTTCTTTTAGCTAAAGTAAATTCTAACTTCACTCTCCTCATTCAAGAAATAACTCTATTAACCAAAACTGAAATTGACCCAAAAAGAGAAAAGCCTAATACCACCACTCTTCTCATGAATGGAGTTTTACATCCTACTTTTCTGCACCATGTGGGTTAATAAAGATGGTCTTCTCATTCAAGAAATAACTCCACTGACTCAAGAAGAGAAAAACCTACTACCCACCTTTCTGTCAAGATAATGTGAATACATTTGCATATCTTCCTCTATATCTAATTCTCTCTTCGGGAAATCTGGTTTAGGTGGTTCTACATCTGAAATATTCATTTAACATTAATATCCAGTTATCCCATTGTTGTGGGACGCAGTCTAAATAAAATTAGACCAAACTTTCAAGGTTTTTGGTTTTTTTTTTAAATATAGCCACTTCAGTTAGGGTCTAAAGACAGAGGTCTTGAACATTCATCACCATAACCTTTTGACCTAACCTAACCTCTGCATCGTCCAATCATATGTCTGCCCTTTCTAATAAGAATTGGTTTGTTATTGAGTGTCAGAAATGGAGCTCAAGAATACAGACAGAGTTTGGAATTATGCAATTTTTGTACATTTCTAGTACTTCTGAAGACTATTTTACATATATTCAAGATGCAAATCGATTCCACAATATGGCGCACTAGTCCCTTTAAAACAGTTGACCTACCTCTGACAATTTCTTCAGGTACTTTGGATAATTTCATACCAACTGGTGATCCTACTTGCACTCTATTTGTAAGATGACTGAAAAATACAACACAGTTGACATGAGATATTTTAAATTACCAGAGAACGATTGCTATTCTTTTATCAAGATAGAAAAAAAACAACCTTTCAAATCATATGATTTATATAAGAATAGAAACTTTCAAAAAGTAAATTTAGGAGTTTTTATCAGAAATGATAGATGTTATAAGGAATGAATGTAGATCTTGTTATCTTTATAACACTTATAATAATTTACATCCTTTTGTTTTTGTTTTTAGTAATTTTCCCATTATTTGTTATTATTTAATTATTTTATCTAGTTTTGTAAAATTGATCTGTACTATGATTTATACTTGTATAGTCTATTCAGATCGATTGTGATGTAATGGGCTTTAAACAATATATATTATTATCATTATGGGGCAATAAACACTGGTTTATCATGTGACTAGACAAATCATCTACAAGCAATAAACACTGGTTTATCATGTAACTAGACAAATCATCTACAAGCAATAAACACTGGTTTATCATGTAACTAGACAAATCATCTACATTCAATAAACACTGGTTTATCATGTGACTTCTACATTCAATAAACACTGGTTTATCATGTGACTTCTACATTCAATAAACACTGGTTTATCATGTGACTAGACAAATCATCTACATTCAATAAACACTGGTTTATCATGTGACTAGACAAATTATCTACAAGCAATAAACACTGGTTTATCATGTGACTAGACAAATCATCTACATTCAATAAACACTGGTTTATCATGTGACTAGACAAATCATCTACATTCAATAAACACTGGTTTATCATGTGACTAGACAAATCATCTACAAGCAATAAACACTGGTTTATCATGTGACTAGACAAATCATCTACATTCAATAAACACTGGTTTATCATGTGACTAGACAAATCATCTACATTCAATAAACACTGGTTTATCATGTGACTAGACAAATCATCTACATTCAATAAACACTGGTTTATCATGTGACTAGACAAATCATCTACATTCAATAAACACTGGTTTATCATGTGACTAGACAAATCATCTACAAGCAATAAACACTGGTTTATCATGTGACTAGACAAATCATCTACAAGCAATAAACACTGGTTTATCATGTGACTAGACAAATCATCTACATTCAATAAACACTGGTTTATCATGTGACTAGACAAATCATCTACATTCAATAAACACTGGTTTATCATGTGACTAGACAAATCTTCTACAAGATCCATATTCATTCCGTAAAAGCATACTGGTTGAACTAGTGCTGTTTTGCCAGTTGCCATGTACCTACAAGCTGTGATATATGACTAAAGAGCTAAAGAATTGACGGTCAGGCACTTGGCCTGTGGTCTCATTCTCGAAAACTTAACTAAGATAAAATCCAAATTTTAAGAAATACAGTAATCTGATTGGATAATAAAACTAAATCTAAAATCAATATTAATGATTGGCCAATCAGATGACTAGAATACTAAAATTTTAAGTTAAGTGTTTGAGAATAAGGTTCACTGCTAAGTTAATTGGTGTCTAGCAAGTTTCACGTACCCATCAGCTGTAAAATAAGATTGCCAGGTTGTAGGAAGATCATGTTGAGAAATAATAGTTCTCTCCATACCATAAACTCTTAACTCAGTACTAGCTACAGTCTGTGTTCTCTCTTCTAAACTTTTCTACAATAATAACAATCAATTTTTTAATGTACTGAGGGAGCCGCGGGTGGCTCAGTGATTTACACGTTTGCTCGCTAACCTGAAGGACCAGGGTTCAATCCTTCAATTAGAAGTTATAAATAAATAAGACAATTATCATTGATAGATACTTGTAGAATGTTTATTACTTTACAACGTTTCAATGTGGTTCTCAAACTGTCATCAACGGTTGTTCAGTGAGTTCAATCACAGCATAATAGATGATAATATCTTTTAATCAGTGATCAGTGATTCAGGTCGAAGGGGCTGACAAGGAAATAAACCTCTGACCATACACCAAACATATTGGGTAATTTCAGTTCAAAATCTACTAATTTTAACAACATGTTAGAAATATTTGAGTGATAATTTTACCTTTAACTCAAACCTCGTTCCTCAAAAAATCTTACTAAAAGAAGTGTTGAAGTTGACGTAGAGATATACCATTCTAATGACAATTTCTAATTATGGTAGTAAAATTTGATGTGACTAGTCCCTAGTGTTCAAGAGTAAGCTCTCGGTGTAATTTTAATAATAAACTTACGTATATTGCTGGGCATAAAATAGACTCAGAATCAAAAGAAACCAACTGAAAATCTCCCTCTGGTATCTTTTTTTCTATCAACAGTCGATGAAGCAAGAGATTTGATCCTGTAAAAAATACACAGAAAGTTTTATTTTCATTGTGCTTTCATTAAGAAATTAATTGTTACTAGACTTACATATTAAAGCTTCAATCTGAAAAAAATGTAGAAAAAAAGTTCGGTTTTCATTATGAGCTTCACTCGCAAAATCTACAAGAAATTTAAAACCTGAGAAATAGAGAATATTTCAGTCACTTGAACCAACATGTGAAACCAAACATCCGGAATTACCATTTTGTCTCCTGTATCAAATTTTATTGAGAAATATTAAAGTAGGAGTATGTAGCCATCTACGTGATATATTTTGAAGTATCTTTCCAGAAAAACAGAAATACAAGAGAATATATTATGGTATAACACACTTCTTTAATATCAAAGTACATTACATTTCAACACAATTGTCATTCAAATCTTATATCTTTTGTTGGAAAAACCAAGGTTAATTTTACAACATTAATAGAAATTTGTTTTGAATAAAATACACCACCTCATACACAGCTTCTAGATAAAGTGAACCACTGTCCCTTCTACTGATAAAAGGGGGTTTTGATTTCGATGCTCCAGACGTATACACTATTAACCAATCAAAAAGTTAACATTTGAATTAAAAGATTTACGACCAATTTTATCTGACGGAGTGAATAATGAACTATCAACCTCACGACAGATATTGACTGTAAGATAAGCAAACTACAAGAACTCATTGATCAGGAGTGAGAAGTGTACAATGAGAATATTCTAAACAGTCTTACCTTCTGATATAAACCCTTTCATATCTTCTAATGAATAAACCTTATTCTGTCTAACTATTGACTGCAATAAAAATATTAATTAAGACTATCAGAACACATTCCTTCAAGCTATTTTTTTCAAAATATAGATTCTACGTATGCCCAGGTAATATATTTTTAAACCACTGTTTGAAATTCATAAAAATTTTAAATTTAGCATCTGCTGGAAGTGAACGTTAACTTGTCATCTACCAACAACTACCTAGTCTGTGATATCAGCATCTGCTGGAAGCGAACGTTAACTTGTCATCTACTAACAACCTTCCCTCTACAAGTAACGATTAATCTAACCTACCTCTCCCTGTGTTATTATTCTATTAACAGTATATTCTGTCTCCTGTCTCACTATGTTTGTTTTACGATCTAATGGACAATTCTCCAGCTGAAATTGAACATGAAATTTATTTTTGACAAAACAATATATCTCAATTTCTAAAGGACACCGATGTGATATGGATTTCTTGGATAAACTAAATAAAATACCCATGTTCAAAATACTTCAGACAACATAAATTTCATGAAAAATACTTCCCAATATGCCTCAGAGGACAAATCCATTAATTAAGTGCATGAAAATAAAGAATTTCTCATTTTTTTAAATTTGATCAGTAAAGCAATCATTTTAAAATTTGTTATTCCTCCCCAATTTACAAGAACAAATTTAAGAAATCAAGAGCCAATGAAAATAATAGAATTTTAAAGTATGTTATACCTACATTAACATATTCATGATGATGCTGTTCAATTGTCTCTAGATTTCGTGTGACATAACAGGTAATAGACGTTCCACATGGTACACCATCTATAGCACCATGACTATTAGCGTGTACTAGAAAACACTCTTTATTACAATGTTTAGTTGGTTCAATAGTCACACAAAATTCACCCAACTCTTTCCCCGTGTCTGAATACGTCACTAATTTATCATCAAACATCAGATATTTAAAATCTACTTCTGGAACTGAAAAATGATAAAAAGATGATTAATTCAAAATAACATTGTGAAATATTGAATATAACTTTCCTCTTACCGTAATTTCATTCAGAAAAAATTATTTCACTTTTATCAAAGTGACAATATTCTGAAATATCAAGTACCAGTATAACTGTTCTCAAAGTACAAGCCTGCTTTCCTCCAATAGGAGATTTTTTTTTGTAGCCTGCACTGATTTCTATACAGCTCAAATAGATTAAGGCTCAATGCCAGTTAAAACAGTAACAGATCCTAAGCATTCTGAATAAAATATAAATTTTCTCAAAGTAACAGTAACTATCCTATAATAAGAGATATTTTTTGAATAAAGCTCAAATAGATAAAGGCTCAATGTTCTACATTAGTCGTCAAAACATATATTTATCAAATTGACTTTACGCTTATTTTAACTCAGTTAACTCAATGCATTTTTTCTTCATATCGTATCATTCATTATATTGTCCCCAACATGTCCTTGGTGTATTAGACCTAATTCAAAACTCATGTAAAATAAAGAGTCTATGTTTGTCCCCACGGGCTAAATATTACACAGGACCATGTCCTTGGTGTATTAGACCTAATTCAAAACTCATGTAAAATAAAGAGTCTATGTTTGTCCCCACGGGCTAAATATTACACAGGACCATGTCCTTGGTGTATTAGACCTAATTCAAAACTCATGTAAAATAAAGAGTCTATGTTTGTCCCCACGGGCCAAATATTACACAGGACCATGTCCTTGGTGTATTAGAACTAATTCAAAACTCATGTAAAATAAAGAGTCTTTGTTTGTCTCCATGGACTGAATGTTAGACAGGATCATGTCACCTTGGTGTACTGGACCTAATGCTGACTCATGTAAAATAAAGAGTCTATGTTTGTCTCCATGGACTGAATGTTAGACAAGATCATGTCACCTTGGTGTATTGGACCTAATGCTGACTCATGTAAAATAAAGAGTCTATGTTTGTCTCCATGGACTGAATGTTAGACAGGATCATGTCCTTGTTTATTGGACTTCTTCTAATCCATATAAAATAATCAGTTTAATATACTTTTATCGTTATTATAAAATTTTACCAAAATTTGATCACATAACCTAAACATTACTCACCCAGGTCAGCTAGAAATTGTAAAGCAACTGGACTGGCTTCAGGAACATCATTAGACGTGTCATCATTATTAGTGCCAGTACTAGTATCTTCTGGTAAACTGACATCTTCTATCAGGGATAACTTCGGTTTCATACTGTAAAATATCATATACCAGATGATTGTTACTGAATTATTAAAACTGTTACTTTTCTTCTGGATGGTTATTCATAAAACTTATACTATATAAATACCCGTACAGCTCTCTTATTAGCTTGTGAGCTGGCCTCTGGTAAATCATTATCAGCATCACTGTGCTCAAACTTTGCTTGAAGGAGTGGAAATAGCAGTGTTGTAGAGAATTTGTGTTCAGCCCATGTGTTTATTGGGATTTAAAAGTGTTCAGGGATGGTGCATTGACCACCTTCTTCAAAAGCCTAAAGTAAATTTAGAAGCTGGTCAAAATGGTCCAAAACATGGTAAGTAAGGTGCCAAGTTGACTATATAATGGATACGCCTACTCAGTTAACTATTTAGCTTAGCCATTATAAATTTACCCTAAATTACTTAATGCAATTGTTAAATAACTCTTGACAAAAATTTCAATCAAAGCTGAATCATACTAGCTTAAGAATGTGTTTAAATGCAAAACAATAACGTCTTCGGCTGTCAAAAGACGCACCCCCCACAACATTTACTCAACCATCTCGTCAACTGTCATAAATGATCAAATCAGTGCATGAAACAGTTCTGTCTTACCTGATATCAACATTTCTCTCGTCCTCGTTCTCCATCATCTTGTAGGGCAGACTTCAAATCAACACAATAAATATATTTTACATGAAATACCAATAAATCAGATCTGAACTTCCAAAATAATAAATTTGACAGCTACATAAATGGCGGATCACTATGGAAATTTATGTTTCCGGTAGACAAATTGTCCAGACTTTTCTTAATGAGAGTTATTTTTCTTTAGAGTTTTCTGTCATGAAGGCGAGTATGGTGGTTTATTGTTTATGTTTTCTTAGCAACGAAATAATTTTTTATTGATTGTTCACACTTTGTGGTCACAAAAGGATAAAAAGGTCAAAATAAAGACCACTGGCTAGGGTGGGTGTCAGGAAAGTGCTCTCGCAGACGGCAAACAAAATCAAAATGGCTGCTTCTGGAATCAATGAACATCATGAAGCAAGAAGGAAACAAAGGTTTATTGATATGAAAGCTTTACATAAAGAACAAATGAAGGTAAGTAGGCAGTATTGTCAAACCACAATGTTTACAGAATCACATTTTAAATTTTTTTGTAAAAGTAACAATTAGAAACAATGTTACGATACTGATAATCATCTTAAAATAGTCATGATAGGCTACAATTATTTTAAAAGATGTGTCATAAAACCAAGAATTGAAGAAAATTACTGATAGGCTACTAACGTAGCGTAGCATTGCCTACAAAATGAAATAAAATAAAATCATGTTTCCTAATCTTAATATTTCTAAATTATTATTTTTTTTTTTTACAGAATCTGTATGACTCTGATCCTGAGTTTGCCATGGCATCAGCAATGAAACCTCAGTCATCTTATGACTGCCAAGTTGATGGTGTTCGTAAAGTGGGTAGTCCTCCTGGTATCACTGACCAAGATATACAAAAGTAAGACAAATTCATTAACTTTTACAAATATCATTTATTAACTGTTTGAACAGAACTCTACATCTGTGAAGAGAATGTCTACAGTTATTATTGATATCTGCCTCAAATGTTGACGGTGAGCTGCCATGATGCTTACTGATTAACTTAGCTAAAAAGTTCCTATTTCTGAGACGTATGTCAAACAGATAGCAAAGCTTTCCCTTTTATTAGCTTCATAATTTATATTTTTATAAATCTATAAGTAATTAAGTAAGCTTATATATATTAATGTATATATGTATTAATGTTTTATTATGTATCATTAATGTATTATTCATGTATTATTATGTATTATTAATGTATTATTATGTATTATTAATATATAATGTGGATTTATGACAGATATCAGAAACCAGGACAATCTAAAAATAATTACGTTGTTTATACTGCTAAATTACCTGACAGATTATCAGTAAGTAGAATTTATAATCTATTTTTCTATAGCTGAAAGTATTCAGACTGTAAGAAACTGATAAGGTCAAAACAGTTTTTCATGAGCATTCGTATTAGATTGTTTTGGAGACATTGCTGAAGCAGATTATTTTTCTGTCATATTTGTTGGTGTAATTATAAAAACAAGTTTGCAAGCCCCCTATTCTGCACCTGATTGATATAATATAAATAGGCAACCCCCAAAAGTGTGCAATAAGGATTTTTTTTTTATCAGAACAGTAGAACAGAACTGCTACAAGCTATGCATGGTAAAGATCCCTCTACAGTTGGAAATCGAAAAAAAAATGAGTAGGCTTTTGGCACTTTCCTCAAACATTCCCTCATTGCAAACTGCATGGGGTTAACCACCTACATTAGCCTCTTTAAAGGTGGCAATAGACGATGTACAGTGTCTGATGCAGGATTATTGATACAGTAGAAAATAGAAGAAACACCATATCCTGACTTCCTCATGTGTTCACTTCTTTTTTTGTTTGTATCAATTATTCTGCACTGTAAACAGTTCCTTGTCTATTCACAGATTAAGAGTAGAAAATAAGGGACCCAAAACAACATTTCATTTTAAAATATTCAAAACACAAGATTTTTAATTCTATTTGTTTATTTTCAGTCGATCAACTATTCTCAACAATGGTAAAAATAAATAAATATAACACCATGAAGATCATGTCTGACAGACTGTGGGAAATAACGAGCAATAAAAATCAAATCTTTTATAATTTTTACTTTTTAAAATCAAAATCGATGAGAACCAAATAAGAGATTTTTACTATCAGTATTATTACTATTATTATATATGTTGGTTTATTGTAATAAATTATACCTTGGTCTTAAAATGTCTAAATATTTACTTTATCAGCTGATAGAGCTCAATTTCAGCTATCTGTATAGTCATCTAAATATTTACTTTACCAGCTGATAGAGCTCAATTTCAGCTATCTGTATAGTCATCTAAATATTTACTTTACCAGCTGATAGAGCTCAATTTCAGCTATCTGTCTAGTCGTCTAAATATTTACTTTACCAGCTGATAGAGCTCAATTTCAGCTATCTGTATAGTCGTCTAAATATTTACTTTACCAGCTGATAGAGCTCAATTTCCGCTATCTGTATAGTCATCTAAATAGTTACTTGACCAGTTGATAGAGCTCAATTTCAGCTATCTGTATAGTCATCTTAATATTTACTTTACCAGCTGATAGAGCTCAATTTCCGCTATCTGTATAGTCATCTAAATAGTTACTTTATCAGCTGATAGAGCTCAATTTCAGCTATCTGTATAGTCATCTTAATATTTACTTTACCAACTGATAGAGCTCAATTTCAGCTATCTGTATAGTTATCTAAATATTTACTTTACCAGCTGATAGAGCTCAATTTCAGCTATATGTATAGTCATCTTAATATTTACTTTATCAGCTGATAGAGCTCAATTTCAGCTATCTGTATAGTCATCTAAATATTTACTTTACCAGCTGATAGAGCTCAATTTCAGCTATCTGTATAGTTATCTAAATATTTACTTTACCAGCTGATAGAACTCAATTTCAGCTATCTGTATAGTCATCTAAATATTTACTTTACCAACTGATAGAGCTCAATTTCCGCTATCTGTATAGTCGTCTAAATATTTACTTTACCAGCTGATAGAGCCCAGTTTCAACTATCTGTATAGTCATCTAAATATTTACTTTACCAACTGAGAGCTCAATTTCAGCTATCTGTATAGTCATCTAAATATTTACTATACCAGCTGATAGAGCTCAATACGATTGATAAAAACAAGATTAATTCTATTGACTGTTAATTTTTCAATTTAACAAAAAAACATGTTACACAATAAATCAACACTATTGATTTTAAAGGAACACTACCTCTTAGAATGAAAATAAAATTAATCTTCTCAAACCTGACCAATGAGAATATTCATCAGTGGACTTCTAGGCGTTATCAATAGTTACTTAGTTTTACAGATTTATCAGATTATATAGGATTGTTGTACAGAAATAGTGCTGGGTAGGTCCCATAATTAATATTGGCTAATTCTGAAAATCTCAATTTTATGTTCATTCTAAGAGGTAGTGTTCCTTTAATAAGCTATTTTAAACACATAATATAATCTTGTGTGACAGATTGTCACTTTCTAGGTTCATGGGATAGATCAGTTACTAGCAAGTTAGGGCGTTGTTTCCAGGGCAGTCAAATATAGCTCCATTAAAAATCAAAACAAATTAGAAAGTGATTTTCACCAATGATTGAATCTTTCTATATGCAAAATCATTGAAATATTCAACGCCATTTGATTTACCAACAGTCGAACAGATACAATAAAAAAATTTGGTGTTACAGTTTCTGAAGGATATATCCTTCCATCGAGGATAGAAAGAATAGATGAATGTGTCATGTTGTGATGTTGCTGGGAATCGCTTGGCTACAGAATTGTCAAGAGAACTCACAGCACCAGGCATTTAAGAAAATTTAAAAATGAAAATGAAATGAATGGAGTTTTACCTCCTACAAGCACGTATTTAAGAACTCAATGGTAAAATTTGAAACCAGGAAGTCAAAGTCAGCCTAGCAACTAGCCAAACAAATGCCACTGGAATTGGAACCTCACTCCCGACTAAATTTCTCTTGTAATGTTTATTCTCTCTTTAATGACTTTATAACACAAACAATCCACCATCCTCTCACTAATTGAACTCCACTACTAAACATCCACATTCTTCTCCCTTAAATCATGATTGTTTTATACGTGAGGTTACTTTCTGTTTATAAACATACAATGTCTCTTTAGAATCATCACCTAATTTGGGAATTTCTCTGATAATCTCTGCTATTAAATTCACAGAATTCTGAAAAAATAATGATTTGGTTTGGATTAGAAGATTAACAAATATTAAAAAAATTATGACTTAATAAAAACCAATAAATCTGTCTATGGGTCTAGTGTTGTTTTCCAGTGATATCTATCATTACAAATGTGAAACTGGCAATATTAATTGGCCCCTCTCCCTCCTGAAATAATAATAATAATAATAATAATGATATTAATAATAATGATAATAATCATGATGATAATAATGATAATAATGATAACAATAATAATAATGATAATAATAATAATAATAATGATAATAATATCAATGATAATAATGATGATGATAATAATGATAATAATAATAATGATAATAATAATAATAATGATAATAATAATAATAATAATAATAATAATAATAATAATAATTATAATAATGATAATGATAAAAATAATAATGATAAAAATAATAATAATAATAATAATCATTATAATAATGA